AGCCCACCTGGGCTTCTAGTGCCTGCTCTGTGCCCAGGCGTGCCTGCAGCTTCCGGACCATCACCTGCCGCTTCCACTCAGGGATAGGCCGGCCGAGCTCGTCCCGCGTGGGCACCAGCCCATCCAGATCGCCCAAGGGCAGCCCGTCCAGCTGCAGTGTGGCTAGGCCATCCGGGGCAGCCCCTGCTGTCTGCACCTGTGCGCACATGGGGAGAGGTCACCCAGGCCCCAAGGGACCTGGCCCTAAGCTAAGGGGAGGTCCATGGGAGTGGAGGTGGGCATGGCTCAGGGTAGGCAGACAGGGTGTCCGAGAGGAGAGGTGGGCGGCATAGTCACCACCCCAGCCCCTGCCTGACATGCAATGTGAGGCTCCTGATGGCGAAGGCCTGCAGTGTTTCCTGTGGGCCCTGCTGGGTGGGGGTACTGAGAGAGCCCATGAGTCCCCTCGCGGCCAGGAAGATGTCGCCCAGAGCATGCCATTTTGATGCGCACACTTGTTCTGGGAACAGCGACGCAGCCAGCCTAGCCAAGTCTGTGTTGCAGGACTTGTCAGAGCCTTTCTGCGCTGGGTATGCTCCACCTCTCCAGGAACGTTGGTGACCTGGGGTTCCCAAACCTGCAGTCGCAGCTCAGGAGCCAACGTCCCCAGGACCCACTTAGGGAAAGTGGGCTGGACTTCTAGGGGCCTGGCACCCAGGACAGGGCGTGGGAGGGAAGCTGGGCTGCTGCAGTCCTGGGTGGCGGGGCCCAAGACAGTGGGGACCAGCACCTGCTCCTTGTGGACAGCGGCTTCTCTGCGCTGTGACAGCAGTGTCCCAGGGGGCCTGGGCAGCCTGCCGCCGCAGTCAGGGGAGGCTTGGACTGCTGGGGTGACAGAAGGGCCTGCGTTTTCCACGCGCGGTGCCAAGCTGCTGTCGCCCTGAAATCTTGTCTCCTATGAACCCTGGGGCTGCCCTGGCAGTGGGCCCGGCTGCTCCAGGGCAAACACAGTGAGGCTGACTGGGTGGCCTTGGGGCCCAGGGACATGGGACGCACCGAGGGGGTGGCTGTGGTGCTGGTGGTGACCCTCGGGGGTGCTGCACAGGTCGTCTGCTTCCTCGGCAGAGGCCCCTCGGGTGGGCCAGGCCAAGCCGGACTGACAGATGCGGCCGCTGCTGCTGCTGCTGCTGGGGAGAAGGGGCCACTGGGGCAGGGCCTCCCCGGGCTGGGCACTGGGGCAGGGCCTCCCCAGGGAGTGGGGCACTGGGGCAGGGCCTCCCGGGGAGTAGGGCGCTGCAGCAAGAACTTCCTGGGGCCAGGGCCTCTCCCCCCCATCCTGGAGGAGCACTGGGCAGATGCTGGGGTCTGCCTAGCACAGAGGACTGGGAGATGGGGCTCCCTCAGGGTGACAGCCCCGGGTCCTGCTGCCTGCTGCAGCCTGGGAGAGGCCAGGAGGGCAAGAGGCCCAGGTCCAGGGACCGCCCCCGGCACCTGCAGCCCCCAAAGTCCATCCTCTGCCAGCTCGCCAGCACCCCCACCCCATTCAGCACACCCCGTGAGAAACAGCTGCACCCCCAGCCCTGCAGACACACACGGACACAGACACAGGACGCATACAGGCACTGTCACAGACACACACACAGGTGTACACAGACACACACACAGGTGCTCACAGACACAACACAAGTGCTCACACCTGGACGCAGACAGACAGACACACACGGACACAGACACACACACAGGTGCTCATACCTGGACGCAGACACACACAGACACACACGGACACAGACACACACACAGGTGCTCACACCTGGACGTAGACACACACAGACACCCACACACACAGAGACACACACGGACACAGACACACACAGGTGCTCACAGACGCGCACACAGGTGCTCACAGATGCGCACACAGGTGCACACAGACACACATGCAGGTGCTCACAGACACGCACACAGGTGCTCACAGACACACACAGGTGCTCACAGACGCGCACACAGGTGCTCACAGATGCGCACACAGGTGCACACAGACACACATGCAGGTGCTCACAGACACGCACGCAGGTGCACACAGACACGCACACAGGTGCTCACAGACACGCACACAGGTGCACACACCTGGATGCAGACAGACACACACGGACACAGACACACACAGGTGCTCACAGACACGCACGCAGGTGCACACAGACACGCACACAGGTGCTCACAGACACGCACGCAGGTGCACACAGACACGCACACAGGTGCTCACAGACACGCACGCAGGTGCACACAGACACGCACACAGGTGCTCACAGACACGCACGCAGGTGCACACAGACACGCACACAGGTGCTCACAGACACGCACGCAGGTGCACACAGACACGCACACAGGTGCTCACAGACACGCACGCAGGTGCACACAGACACGCACACAGGTGCTCACAGACACGCACGCAGGTGCACACAGACACGCACACAGGTGCTCACAGACACGCACGCAGGTGCACACAGACACGCACACAGGTGCTCACAGACACGCACGCAGGTGCACACAGACACGCACACAGGTGCTCACAGACACGCACGCAGGTGCACACAGACACGCACACAGGTGCTCACAGACACGCACGCAGGTGCACACAGACACGCACACAGGTGCTCACAGACACGCACGCAGGTGCACACAGACACGCACACAGGTGCTCACAGACACGCACGCAGGTGCACACAGACACGCACACAGGTGCTCACAGACACGCACGCAGGTGCACACAGACACGCACACAGGTGCTCACAGACACGCACGCAGGTGCACACAGACACGCACACAGGTGCTCACAGACACGCACGCAGGTGCACACAGACACGCACACAGGTGCTCACAGACACGCACGCAGGTGCACACAGACACGCACACAGGTGCTCACAGACACGCACGCAGGTGCACACAGACACGCACACAGGTGCTCACAGACACGCACGCAGGTGCACACAGACACGCACACAGGTGCTCACAGACACGCACGCAGGTGCACACAGACACGCACACAGGTGCTCACAGACACGCACGCAGGTGCACACAGACACGCACACAGGTGCTCACAGACACGCACGCAGGTGCACACAGACACGCACACAGGTGCTCACAGACACGCACGCAGGTGCACACAGACACGCACACAGGTGCTCACAGACACGCACGCAGGTGCACACAGACACGCACACAGGTGCTCACAGACACGCACGCAGGTGCACACAGACACGCACACAGGTGCTCACAGACACGCACGCAGGTGCACACAGACACGCACACAGGTGCTCACAGACACGCACGCAGGTGCACACAGACACGCACACAGGTGCTCACAGACACGCACGCAGGTGCACACAGACACGCACACAGGTGCTCACAGACACGCACGCAGGTGCACACAGACACGCACACAGGTGCTCACAGACACGCACGCAGGTGCACACAGACACGCACACAGGTGCTCACAGACACGCACGCAGGTGCACACAGACACGCACACAGGTGCTCACAGACACGCACGCAGGTGCACACAGACACGCACACAGGTGCTCACAGACACGCACGCAGGTGCACACAGACACGCACACAGGTGCTCACAGACACGCACGCAGGTGCACACAGACACGCACACAGGTGCTCACAGACACGCACGCAGGTGCACACAGACACGCACACAGGTGCTCACAGACACGCACGCAGGTGCACACAGACACGCACACAGGTGCTCACAGACACGCACGCAGGTGCACACAGACACGCACACAGGTGCTCACAGACACGCACGCAGGTGCACACAGACACGCACACAGGTGCTCACAGACACGCACGCAGGTGCACACAGACACGCACACAGGTGCTCACAGACACGCACGCAGGTGCACACAGACACGCACACAGGTGCTCACAGACACGCACGCAGGTGCACACAGACACGCACACAGGTGCTCACAGACACGCACGCAGGTGCACACAGACACGCACACAGGTGCTCACAGACACGCACGCAGGTGCACACAGACACGCACACAGGTGCTCACAGACACGCACGCAGGTGCACACAGACACGCACACAGGTGCTCACAGACACGCACGCAGGTGCACACAGACACGCACACAGGTGCTCACAGACACGCACGCAGGTGCACACAGACACGCACACAGGTGCTCACAGACACGCACGCAGGTGCACACAGACACGCACACAGGTGCTCACAGACACGCACGCAGGTGCACACAGACACGCACACAGGTGCTCACAGACACGCACGCAGGTGCACACAGACACGCACACAGGTGCTCACAGACACGCACGCAGGTGCACACAGACACGCACACAGGTGCTCACAGACACGCACGCAGGTGCACACAGACACGCACACAGGTGCTCACAGACACGCACGCAGGTGCACACAGACACGCACACAGGTGCTCACAGACACGCACGCAGGTGCACACAGACACGCACACAGGTGCTCACAGACACGCACGCAGGTGCACACAGACACGCACACAGGTGCTCACAGACACGCACGCAGGTGCACACAGACACGCACACAGGTGCTCACAGACACGCACGCAGGTGCACACAGACACGCACACAGGTGCTCACAGACACGCACGCAGGTGCACACAGACACGCACACAGGTGCTCACAGACACGCACGCAGGTGCACACAGACACGCACACAGGTGCTCACAGACACGCACGCAGGTGCACACAGACACGCACACAGGTGCTCACAGACACGCACGCAGGTGCACACAGACACGCACACAGGTGCTCACAGACACGCACGCAGGTGCACACAGACACGCACACAGGTGCTCACAGACACGCACGCAGGTGCACACAGACACGCACACAGGTGCTCACAGACACGCACGCAGGTGCACACAGACACGCACACAGGTGCTCACAGACACGCACGCAGGTGCACACAGACACGCACACAGGTGCTCACAGACACGCACGCAGGTGCACACAGACACGCACACAGGTGCTCACAGACACGCACGCAGGTGCACACAGACACGCACACAGGTGCTCACAGACACGCACGCAGGTGCACACAGACACGCACACAGGTGCTCACAGACACGCACGCAGGTGCACACAGACACGCACACAGGTGCTCACAGACACGCACGCAGGTGCACACAGACACGCACACAGGTGCTCACAGACACGCACGCAGGTGCACACAGACACGCACACAGGTGCTCACAGACACGCACGCAGGTGCACACAGACACGCACACAGGTGCTCACAGACACGCACGCAGGTGCACACAGACACGCACACAGGTGCTCACAGACACGCACGCAGGTGCACACAGACACGCACACAGGTGCTCACAGACACGCACGCAGGTGCACACAGACACGCACACAGGTGCTCACAGACACGCACGCAGGTGCACACAGACACGCACACAGGTGCTCACAGACACGCACGCAGGTGCACACAGACACGCACACAGGTGCTCACAGACACGCACGCAGGTGCACACAGACACGCACACAGGTGCTCACAGACACGCACGCAGGTGCACACAGACACGCACACAGGTGCTCACAGACACGCACGCAGGTGCACACAGACACGCACACAGGTGCTCACAGACACGCACGCAGGTGCACACAGACACGCACACAGGTGCTCACAGACACGCACGCAGGTGCACACAGACACGCACACAGGTGCTCACAGACACGCACGCAGGTGCACACAGACACGCACACAGGTGCTCACAGACACGCACGCAGGTGCACACAGACACGCACACAGGTGCTCACAGACACACACAGGTGCTCACACCTGGATGCAGACACACACACACTGCAGTCACACACACACATGCACGCTCCTTACACAACAGCAGCATACCCCACGGACTGATGTTCCCGCTCACAGACCTGATGGTGTCCTGCACTCCCACCCTCTCCTTCTGATAGGCGTGTCACAGTCCCCCCAGGTGGTGACCCTGCCAAGCTGGCCATGTGGACTCAGAGAGAGGCACTGGTCCTAGGGCTGGCCGACCGCCCCACCGCCTGGATCTGGCCTAGACGACCTTCTGCGACTGCAGCCCCCACCCGGGAAACGTCGGTCCTAGCTCTTCAAAGGCGATGACGCAGTAAAGGACACTGGGAAGAAGCTGGGTGACGTGACGGGAGGGTGATGGCCCGTCCTGTGTGCCCCGCTGTCCAGTCACCTCCCCCGGGACCTCAGAGGTCACAGTACCCACTCTGATGCTCACTCCAAGCCAGGCTGGCAGAGACGTGTACTCACGGGTGAGGGTCCCGAGCCCTGAGGCCCCTCTTCGTCCATCCTCTGCGGCGTGCCTGGCGGCCGACAGTGGGGGAGGGGGGAATGGCGGTGGTGGGGGCGTCATCAGCAGTGGCACCTGGGGTGGAGACGTCTGTTGGCGGACTCCTGCGTGGACCCTGACTTGGGCTCTCCCCAGCTCTACTGGGTATGGCTGGGGTTCCCCTGGGGGCCTCTGCATCAAGGGAGGGTCTAGGAGGGTGACGCTGCAGGAGGGATGGCCAGGACCCCGCGGCCCTCAGGGCCTGGCCCTCTGCAGCCACGATGCCAGCGGGCTGGGCTCCCCAGTCACCCTGCAGTTTCTATCCTGGTCGCTCACGGGGCCTCTGCCTAGACTGCTCCCCTCCCCCAGGGGCTCGTGGTCTCAGCCTCTGGGCTCTGGGAGGTCTGCTGTCCAGCTGTGCTCTCCCACTATGGCCTTACGAAGACACGCACACACACTCCCATGAACACACTTGCCCAGACATGCTCACGCTCCCGTCCTGGGCACCTCACTGCTCCGCCGGGGCCCCACGGGGCTGCAGGGCCTGGGGCTGCTCAGTAAGGGGCCTGTCGACAGGGAGGAGCTGGGCTAGGAGGGGGTCCCCAAGCCCATCAGCCAAGGGCACAGGTGAGGACCTGATGCTTAGATCATAGGCCACACCTGGACCCTGGCTCTTGGCCCGAAGCCCAGCTGCCTTCTCAGAGAGCACGACTGGGGATCCCAAGATGCCCCCTTCCTCCCCAGACTGCATGGAGGGTGGGCATCCTCCCCGCTCTGAGGAGAGCAGGTGCCGACCCTTCCCCGGACCTAGAGTCTCCTCAGCCCAGGCGGTGTGGCTGTGGCAGTGGGAACGCTGCACCCAGGGCCCTGTGCTGTGTCCAGGCCGGGAAAGGGGGCGCCCTCTCCAGGACCACCTGGAATAGAGACACCGAGCTCTGCAGGAGCCTAGGGCTGCAGGAGCCCTATGCCCAGCCCACCCTGAGTTTGGGGTAAGGCATGCACCTGGCCTCGACCTAGCCCCCTGTCCATGGCACCCACCAGCCAGCCAGAGCCCTAAGGTGGGAGCTGCCACCTGGCTTGGCTTCTCGGCTTCTGTGCTGGCTTCTGGCCACGGCAGCTGGCAGCTGACTTCCGCCGTGGAGAAGCCACCCTGAGCCCCATGCTCTGAGCCTCACGCTGACCCTGCGGGGCCAGCAGCAGGGTTGTACTCACGTCCCACCACCCTCACCCTCCTCTGGACCCCAGGCCTGCCTTGCCTGTTTGGTTTAAGCCCCCACCACCTGTGCCTGGGCACACCTTTCCCGCCCGGGACGCGGTTGGGGCAGCGCGTCTGCAGCCTGTGGGGCCTCACCGCACTGCCTCCAACACCCGCCCTGGCCATCGGACCAAAGCCCCGCACCTCTATCCAGGGACGCAGAAGGTGGACATGGCCTTCAGGACTGCCAAGTTTGCAGGTGAGAGAGCCCTGAGCTGGACACTCTAGCCCGTACTCCAGCCTGGGCTCAGGATGTGTGGCCTGGGGCCAGGGCTGGCGTTGGGGGCGTGGGACCCACACTGCAGCGTGCTTGACACTCTACCGCCCCTGCCCTCACCATGGCTGTTTCTCAGTAAGAGGCCACAATTCCATCCTGCTCGGGGCCCTGGACGGGCGTGGCCAGCCTTCCTGGGCACACCCCTGGCCCCTCCGAATCTCCCTCCCTCGCGGCCAAGGTGGCCCTGTGCCACCTCCAGGCAAGGGGACAGTGCGCCCTCAATCACATGCCGCCCAGCCCACCAGTGTGGGCAAGCGCAGCCCGCAGCCCCACCTGCCCCTACACACCTCACTGCTTCCAGGACCCTGCAGAGACTCAGGCATCCCAGACCAGGGAGATCGGGAGTGTCTGGCCGCCCCAGCCCGAGAACCGAGGACTGCAGTGGCAGGCACTGGCTGTGGAGCCTAGGGAGTGGCAACTGGCTTGGCTGTCAGGGGGCTGTCGAAGCTGCCACCCCCTGGAGTGGGAGGTGTCATGAATATTTGAAGGCAGGTGTCGGGTGGCCAGGAGGGCTGGGCTGCTGTGGGATCCCTTACCACCACACCTCTGCCCTCCACAGTGCAAGGGCTGGGCCGGAGGCCTCTGGGCCACAAGAAAAGAGACCACCCAGAGGAACCCCCATCCCACACGCAGTACCCCTCCAAGGGCACAGAAGGGGAAATTGAGGCCCAGATTGGGCAAAGGGCTCCCCACATCCCCGCACTGGGGTGCAGCAGGCCTTCTTCCTCACTGCCCGCTCGGCTCAGGGGCAGTGGTGGTGGAGGAGGATCAGTCAGCCTCTGGGCAGGGCTGGCACCACGGGCATCTTCTGTCCCACAGGGAAGCACAGCACCAGCCACTCTCCCTGCTTCCGCGGGCTGGCCTTGCCCATGACCCAGAGGGCAAGCAGGTCTACTGTTCCTGTAGGGTGGGGTCTCGGCTTGCAGGCCTCCACTGAAACACAGTCCCCGGGGGGCATGGCAGCCATCTGGACCCAAGTCACCTCACCTGCGACCTGGGGAAAGGGGACCCCATGAAACATGGCGCCTGCCCCCTGCTGAGCCGTGAGCAAGTCTCTGGTCTCGGCTCCGAGCATCTTGTGTCTTCTCTTAACTAGCTGAC